ATCTACCGACTTTAGGTTTTACAGTAAAATGTTTTAGATCCCTCTAAAAGTTCATTCTGCGATATTATGCATGAATATCAAGATGGCCTTCAATGATTCATCCAATGTATATAAAATTTAATAAATGTATATAAAATTTCCACTTGATAATTTCCATCTACAACACCCTTCAACTATTATTCAATCGAGTGAGATGCCAGCAAAATCTTGATATTTACACGTAACCTACACATGGTAGTACCCTAGTATATGCATGAACTTGTGGTTATAGAGCTCGACAACTGGCCTCTGTAGCTCAGGGGTTGGTTGTTCAAAGGTGGGTTAGCGCTAACTCTGGGTTAAAATTTAACCTGCTGTTTTAGTTTGTGTATTTCTACACGTCTGTTTATTTCAAAACTTCAGAGAAGTAAACTCCTATCGATCCAGACAAGATCTCTGAAGAAATATTTCCAAATTTATAGACAAGTTGTCAGGAAGTTTGCTTTGAATTTTAGGTTAACCTAGGGTTACAGTAAGCTAACCCAGCTTTAAAAAACTGGCCCAAGATGGTTAGAGCGCTGCATCGGAATCGCAGTGCGCGCAGGTTGGATTTCTGCCAGAGACCTAAATTTGCATTTTTCGCAGCTGTTCCTGGTTAGGTTTAATAAATGTAAATAAAATTTATCCAATGGTTCCATTCGTCAGGTAGGACTAGAAGTACGTTTAAAAACGATTCATCCATTAGTTTGGTCAGATATATTATATAGTAAAATGAACTTTCAGCCTTTTGGTGGTTATTTTATCGAGTATATATTGGTGATTTCGTATGAAATAATCATTTAACACATCGCAACTCCACTTAATCGCAACATTTACGACATGCAAGATATAAAATTTACAATGAAGAAACGAAATATAGTGCACATGATTTATACTGATCAGAATTTACCGAAACATGGATACGGCGAAATTCTCTATTTTCTTTTTCTCTCTTCCAAAAGAAACAAATTATGTTTGAACATACCTCTTTGACCTCCTCCGGGATGGATGTTTTTCCACGGTACCCATAACTCCTAACACTTTATTTATACACAGAAAACAGCGATCAATTTTACATTTAACCTAAAATTTTCCCAGGTGTTTGGACTTCAAGACTCAAACATCATAAAATTTCCTGTCGTTTTCTAAACACAAATTGTTATTCGCAACCGTTTTAATTACGGCTACAAACCGAAATAATTAAAAACCGATCAGACACAAAAATTGACTGTTAACGTTAGTTTACAAAGTACATTTCATTTTACACTGTAAATGTCATCCCTGACCAATGGGATCGCGTTTCTAGAAGTGCAACCTGTACCAAAACACCTGGCCAAAATTATACGTACAAAATTTACATTTAAGGTTGGAAACTTCAATTTTAGCATGTAAATTTTATGCAAAGAAAAATCAACAACTGTTTCATACATAAAAAAAGCTTGATGACTTTGATATGCTTTGACTGAGCAACCACAAATTCATTTTGTTTTCTTTTGAAAATAATTTGCACATAACATTGTCATAGAACTAGTTTTGGATTCAAATACAGTTTTTCATGCATGTGCTCCTAAAATTTCCCCCACAAAAATTACGAGTTAAAACCAGGTGGCCCATGTAAATCTATTCGACAAGGGGGAGGGGAGAGCGGGGTTAACCCCCCCCCCCTCGCTACGTCCCAGTAAATAATATATTAGCTTACTATTTGTTTGAGATTACGTTTGAAACTTGTTTTGCAATATAAACATCTAGCCAAGGGCTTGTCAACATTTTGTCATGATGACAAGTGAATAGACCAGTGGCCTCTCACTCCTTTTATTCTAAAATCTTATTTTAAATATTCTGGCTTTAAAATTGGCTCATTGAATTCGAAACGATCAGTGACTTTTCTGCGGCCTTACCAAACTTTTCGCCATTTTTACGTGTTTGGCGCCAAGGACACCCACCGCGCGCGCGTTCGTATCGGCCGTTTGACCCGCACAGAAGCACCGTAGCTTATACAAAATAATATACAACCATAACAACAAAATGTACATATATAAAAACTTCATAATATACTTAAACTTCAGAGGTTTGCCCTTTGTTGGTTTAGTTGCAACTTGTTAAAACACAAGGTCAGTGAGCTCTCTTTATATATAACTGGAGTACTACCTTTAATCAATTGCCCAAATGAAAAGTCAAAGATGGCTGATATTGATTTGGACGCCAGTTTCGCTCCACTCATACACTCTAAAACCTTCTGGTTTATCTAGAAATAACCCTATGTGGGTTAACCTGATATTCCTGGTTCAATAGGCAATTCCATCTTTTAATTTATGCGCGCAGGGGGAGGATGGGAAGTAAGGCATCATATTGCTGACTATGCTAAAAAAATAAAAATGGCGGCCGTGTAAACACGGAGTGATAGCTTATACTTGTAAATATTGAAATATTTCGGTTGTTTCGGCAATTTGTATTGAAATTTTTCAGCATGATCAGCAATATGATACCTTACTTCCCATAATTCCCTGCGTGCATAAATTAATAGCTGAAATTGCCTATTTGCTGGTTATTTTAACCTTTTTCTTACTGTAGTAAGGTTAATTTGACCAGGACTTGGGCTCAGGTTATACAGTATATCCACCTAGGACGTCTTGGTCAAATATAACCAGATCCAGGTTACATTAACCGACTATGGTAGGAAGCAGACCCTGAAATAACGGTCGGACATTTTCCGACCAAATCGCAATTTTTCCGACCAAATTTTGTCCGGACAAAGAATATTGCAATCAACCTTCTTGAAAGACTGGGTTAACCATAAGCTGCATGCGATCCTCCCACAAAGAATAAATGCAAAATATTTAACTACACTTGCTAGTGCTTGGCATGGAATCGAAAAAATGTCCAACCAAGTTTGATAGTTTCCCATCAAATTTCATTTTGGTTGGACATTTTGCGGACAAATTTTGAATGTTATTTCAGGCTCTGGGAAGTGAGATAAAATAACCAGAATGACGTCCAATACCTACAATTTTACACTTACATTAAATACCTAAGATATTACTCTAGTTACATATATAGAGCTCACTGTCATAAGTATACATACGATAAGAGCTAGGAGCTCAGCTCTGGGGTTGGTCAGCCTCGGATTAGTGTTTGCTATGTCGCTGAAACGCTGGGAAATTGTGCTAAGTTAGGAATGTCAAAGAGATCACAAACGCCTTCTGAGCTTGTGAGGTTGAACGTGTAGTCGGAGTCACCAGCTGGCGGTGAGAGCTGTAATAGTGGAGCATAGTCTGTGGAAGAAAACAGAAAAGTATAAGAGAAC